ACTCGGAAACGACACTCGGAAACGACACTCGGAAACGACACTCGGAAACACTCAGAAACGACACTCAGAAACGACACTCAGAAACAACACTCAGAAACACTCAGAAACAACACTCAGAAAACAACACTCAGAAACAACACTCAGAAAACACTCAGAAACAACACTCAGAAACAACACTCAGAAACAACACTCAAAAACAACACTCAGAAACAACACTCAAAAACAACACTCAGAAACACACTCAGAAACACACTCAGAAAACACACTCAGAAACACTCAGAAACACTCAGAAACATCAGAAACATTGCACACATCATTCTTACCCAGCATAAAAAGCACATAAAATGAAAGATAAATAAAAGTAATGATATAAAATGAAATAAAAACAAGCTACATTATAAAACGGGGTAAAACACTAAAAACATGTCTGAATTGATTTTTGCATTGAACTTAACGGTTTAAAATCTCTTGGGTCAAAGTCGAGAGCTTCAGACGTTACAGTCTTACAGAGTCAGCAACAGCAGTGGATGATAAAAGTTGGCGCTTCAGCAACAACTTCTGTTAATTTTTTCAAATCTGCTTATCAGCAGCAAAGCTATTTTATACTAATTAGTGAATTAGCAGTCAGCGAAGCTAATTTTATGGTTAGCTGTGCCCCCCACTGTTGAGAATTTTAATGTTTCTGCAGCGTTTATGTAGAAGATGAAATGCTAAAAACATCCTTCATTTAAAGTTAAAGTGCAAAGTGTTGTCATCATTGCTTGTTCCCAAACAACGAGGAAATTACTCATCTGCATTCAACCCATCACACCTGAGATGCACCCAGGTGGAGCAGTGGGCAGCTATGCAAGCGCCCGGGGTGCCAGTAAGCGTCCTGTTTGAAAGAGAAAGATCTGAGCTCAGGAACAATACCTTACAACAAAACTGATTCTGTGTTGTGTGTTTCCTTGACTGATGAAGCCTTCTGGATCGAAGGCGAAACGTTTCAGCACCGAAAAAAAAAAAAGAAACTGTCCAGATGACCTGACTGAAAAATGTTGGATTTCAGTGCATTCTTCCTCAAAATCTCAATTAAACCATATCTATTAGTACTCAAAATCAATTAAAGTCACATGATCATGAAAACATCTTTCGAATGAAACGTTCCACCACGTTTGCCAAGCGGCCGTCATACCACGCAGTGCAACAGCGACAGGTCCACGTAATGTTTCTACTGTACGTTTTCCTGAACTGAACCCCCAGATGTGCACCCTGGTTCTTCTAAGCTGGTGAAGGGAAATAGACACGATAAGAACTTTACTGACAAGACACAAAGGACAAAGGACTGGAGTGTGACGTGGCTCTGTGTGTACACGGTTGTGTATTTATGCGTCCATCACTGGTGGTTTTTATTAAAAAAGGAAATAAAAAGTTTGACAAAAATGGAGAAACATTATATTTAACGTATTTGTCCTTCATTGTTTAACGTATAAACTGATGCACTACCTTACAAACGCAACATAACACTGATTTTGACAAATATAGAAATAAAATGATGGAATATAAATGTATCCTTAAATTTTAGTAACAGTTTTTAAACGTTATAAATTCAGTATTGTTTATTTTTAAGTGAAGTGGAACGGAGCTTCGGGAGGCTTTACTGGTTCTGATGGTGCAGATAAGAGGTGGGTGTGGGACGTGAGACGTTCGATAACCGTCAGAACTTTCAGACTTTACACATCTGGGTGACGTCTGGTAAGAAGAAAAGGAAAGCCTTAAAATTATTATTATTATTTTTTTACTAAAAACATTTGTTTTATAGATTATCATTTTCTCGATTTGATTGTTTTCCAGTAAATTATAAAAATATAGTTTGTAGTTTTCACACTTATTGGATTTATTTTATAAAAATAACACTAAATGTATAATAAATCTGCCACTCAACATTACAAACATTAATATTTCTTTTAGTTAATAAAAAAAAAAAAAACGACTCGTTGATTTCTACACATTGTTTGCATCATGTTTTCATAACGGGGTTTATTTTTGAGGTAAAAATCAAACTGTTCAAGAAAAAAATATTTTTGAGGGGATTTATTTTAAAAAGTTTGTTTTATTCCATTTTAAAGTTTGTCCACTAACGGCAGAATAAACAGTTTCATTCTTCACTGAACTCACCAACAAGATAAAACAGAAATTAGTTCAATAAAATTTAAATATTTGAAAAGATAAAAAATATTCAAACTTAAAGCTCCAAAAGTTTGATAAAATGAACTCAGTTTGTCGAGGCAGAAACACAAATGTATTTTTAAAAAACCTCTAAAGTTCATGCTCAATAATCCAGGTATAAAATCCAACATGTTCAGTCAGGTCATCTGGATGGTTTCTTTTTTTTGCTGAGACGTTTCGTCCTTCATCCAAAGGACTTCTTCAGTCTGAGGAGCCACCAAACAAACCAATTCCCATAAAACGTCACACTCCATAGTGGGAAAAATAATCCGGTTTGCAAAAACTGTTATTTCATTATGGAGCGTGCTGTTAGTGGGAATCAGTTTGTTTGGTGGCTCCTCAGACTGAAGAAGTCCTTTGGATGAAGGATGAAACATCTCAGCAAAAGCAGAAACAGTCCAGATGACCTGAATGAACATTGTTGTATTTTAAAAAAACAATTTTAAAAAGCATTAATATGTAAATAAAAATACAGATGAACCACAGGAACTGAACTTTCTGTTAAAAAAATCAGCGAGTCGAGCGTTCTGAACGACTCCACTACAAGTTACGGAAAAATTAATTATTAATGTTAAAACGAGCTGAACAGAAGCAAAAATCAGCAAAACAGTAACCAACAGCTAAAATCAACAAAACCTTTTGTAAAAGCCATTTTAGCTAAAACCTTTGCTAAAAGCTAAAATTTGTAAAACCGTAGCAAATAATGAAAAACCACCAAAATCAAAAACTAAACGATAAAATAAGCCAATCAGTTGAATTAGCAATATTAGCTTTAGTGGCCAAGAGAGAAATGTACCGGTAGCTAAACAGTAGCCAACAGCTAATTGTAGCAAATCTGTAGGTTAAAGCTACATTTAGTGAGACAGTCAGTCATATTTGTTTTAAATTAGCTTCATTTTTATTGAGCATGCATCAGGATATTCGTTTTTATTATTTTTAAACTGCTGCTCGTGTTTTTTTATTGTTCTCTTCAGAACTTTGAGGTTCACTTGTGTTTGAACAAGTATGATATGAATTAGGACGGCACGGTGGCGCAGTTGGTAGCGCTGTCGCCTCTCAGCGAGGAGGTCGCCGAATTGAAATCTGGTCGGGAGAGAGAGGACCTTTCTGGGTGGAGTTTGCACGTTCTCTACGTGCATTTTCTCCGGGTGCTCCGGTTTCCTCCCACAGACCAAAAACATGCATGTTAGACCGATTGGTAACTAAACTGTCTCTAGGTGTGAGTGAGACAGTGAATGGTTGTTTGTCTCGTTTGTCTCCATGTGTCCCTGTGATGGCTAGATATAAACACCAGGGACCCTCATGACCCAAAATGGAAGAAGCGGGTCAAGATGATGGATGGATGATGTGAATTAATTTGAGCTAAAAACTTGAGCAAGACGCTGAAAACATCTCATATTTCTGAGTTGTTGCTTTTTAAATTCAGTTACATGATTAAAAATAAACAAATAAGCTTCAACTATTAAAAGTCAAAACACACCTTTTTTTACATGAATGGTTAAAAGATACAAAAATGAATTAAAGTAAACACTTTGTCACACAAAACAAACTATATAATTAATATACGTGTGCTGTAAAGTTGGCTGAAAAGAAAATAAGGAGTTACACTTTTCTAATTTAGCCGTCAAGCGTAGCGCGACGTGTGAGCACGCTCAGACAGACTCACTCTGTTGGGAGGACGGCGCTCCGGCCAGCAGCTGATAAGTCACATTGAGAGGCAGGAAGTCTCCCTGTTCCACCCACGACTCTTTACTGACCAGTCTCTCGACCCGCCAACTTAACTCTTTGGGAATCACCTTCAACGATCTCTGACCCTGAAGACAAAATAAACACAATGCACCAAGATCTGGTTTTAAAGTTTGCACAGATTCTAAGACCGATGCTCCGACTTTCTGCAGCACGTCTGTTAATATGTTTAAACTGGCCGCCTCGTTGTTTTACTTCTCAGCTCGGTTTTCTCTCTTTGTGTTCACGGTTAGTGCACGTGTGTGTGTGTGTGTGTGAGCGTGCACGTGTTCTCACCGTTATGGAAAAGTCTGAATGACTGAAGAGGTACAGTCCAGTGACGAGAAGTAGCACTGCCAGGGCCACATTCTTCTTCCTCTTAAAAAAACGTGGCATTTCCTGCAAACAGAGAAGCACCAAACGGTCGGTGCACTCTGTTAGGTAGGCGTGCAGCTCAGATCAACAGTAAATAATTCAGCAGCTAAACGTTTCAGAGCTCAGATGAACGTAACGCTAGACCGTTTGTTGAGAGTCCAACTGGACTCAGACTCTCTGAGTTACTGGATTTACAGTCAAATGAAGTCTTTTAAAACCAGGGTTGTACGACTACACCACGTGGTTGTGGAAAACTGCGGCCCACTCTTCTTTCCATCGTTTGTTTCTGCTCAGCTCTCTGGAGGTCCCACCACAGTGTTTCAATCAGGATGAAGTTCTGGACTGACTGGACCGCTGCAGCACCTTGATTCTTGTCTTTTTGGACCGCTCTGTTGTCGACCAGCTGCTGCGTTTGGGATCATGGTTCTGTTGGACCCAGTTTGATCCAAACTTTAGCTATTGGACAGATGGACTCATATTTGACTCGAGAACCCTCATGGTCCACTCAGTGACTGACAGGAGCCCAAACTATCAACCCTCCACCACCGTGCTGACAGATGGGAGGAGCTGTTTGCTGCTGTGCATTCTGGGTAAACATTTCCACTTTGGTCTGGTTTTGGTTCAAGTTTCAGATTAAACTTTCCAAGTTGTTTGTAAACAAACTTAGGCTTTCGCCTACAATAAACAAGCCCCGACCTTTAACCTTTGGCCTGTAGAGTCTGAGAGGAGGCTCATTTCTCTGAGCCTTGCACAGTCTGACCTTCAGGGTAAATTTGCTAGGATGTCCATCCTTAAGATTTGTCAGCTGTTTTAAATGGTGTACGCTCATGAAAAAATCCTTCTCTCTGTACAACGATGGACTCCACATAGTTTAGTAATGACCTTTGACCCTTCTCAAACTGGTGGGCAGCAGCAGCTGCTTCTCGGAGGTTGTTGCTGCCACGTCTGAAACGCTTGTCGGCTTCACCGACAGCGTGTGACCATTACATGTTGGACAGGGTTTTAAAACATGAGGAAGCGCTCATTTCATTCATATTTTACCTGTTCTTCCCCTCTCTCTAAATATATTTCACTTTTTAAGCAGCCGACACGTAAACCAACCCGCCGTCTTCAAATTAAACGGTAAATGGACCGTACGTGTACAGAACCGATACCGATCAAAACCCTGAACCTCAGACTGGAAGACGAGCTTGATACTACGGAGTCAAAGTCCCATCAGACATCGCATCCAAACTACGCAACGCTCAAAATGTTTGGTCAAATAATAAACTACGGTGACACTCCGGAGGCAGCAACAGACCGTTCTGCTTTAACACCAAAATATTTACCAAACAACTCCGAGCCAATAACATGTAAACACAAACAACTGAATTTTCTGAGAAACTTCAGAGCGAACCCTGGAAGTTCTTGAAAAATTATTAAAGTTAAAACAAGATGAACAGCAGCGAAAACAAGCAAAACATAAATAAGAGCCAGAATTAGCAAATAGTGGCTAAATGCTAAAATGAGCAAAACCATCTTTGAAAGCCAGCATTGCTAAAAGCTAAAGTTAGTAAAACCTTAGCCAAAATGAAAAAACAGCATAACAGTACCTAAAAGAAAACTATCCAATATAACTAAAAGCTAATTTTAGCCAAACATAGCTAAAATCTAAAACAGTAGCTAAAGTCTACAACTAGCAAAACAGTAGCTAAAGGCTAAAATTAACAAAGCTGTAAAATCTACAAATAGCTAACAGTAGCTAAAAACTAAATGAGCAAAACAATAGCAAACTGCTAAACGTAGCAAAATCTGTTTAGAGGTGAATTTTGCAGAATTGCAGCTTCCCTTCTCTAAACATCTCGTCTCTTTCATCGTTTTTAAAGTAGCGTACTGCGAACAGACCCGTTCGAGTTAAAAGGTAAACGCAGGTGACGACGTAAGCAGTTTCCGTTGGTCCGAGACGACCTGTTCTTGTCTCTGACAAACAGACCTCAGCTCGAGGTCGTCTGGTGGACACCCGAGTGAAACAGATTAAAGTTCTCCATCGCAGCGACGGAGTTCTGTCATCTTTAAAAACGAAAGAGGAAAAAACTTGTTTTGTTGTGGTCTTTTTAAATCCAGCCAATCTAATCATGATACGGGAATCCATCAGTCTCCATGATGACATCCCTCACCTTGTCCACAAAGTCCATGGTGTTCTGTATGTGGTGTTCTGAGCTGCCAACTAAAGGGATGAGTACAGACGCCAGATATTTGGAAACATTGTAAGTGACAGAGTTAATCATGCTAACAATAGGTCTTAAAGGTACACCTTGTTTGTGGATTTTAGGTAAACCATACAGACTAGGTGTGGCCTCCCCTGGGTACAGTCTGTGGTACAGAAAACGGTCAATAACCTCGTCCTGCTCCAAAATACGACTACAGAGGCCAGAGGTCACTCCTTCAGGGATGAAGACGTTCTCATCCTTGATAAGAGAGGAACGATGGTTTGAGAGAGGAGTGGAGGCGGCCATGTTTGTGAAAATAAAGCGCCCATCATTAAAGAGGGGCGGAGCCTCCGTGTCCAACTGTCCCCCTCTTACATGCAGTTATTGCTAGAATCAGTCAGGGTCGTTAAGACTGATGGTCCTTCATCATGTGAACAGCTAGTTCTGGACGTCACCAGCAAACTGCTCGATCCAGCTATGTATAAGGCTGAGTTTAGTGCAGCTCCTCAGACTGAAGAAGTCCTTTGGATAAAAGATGAAATGTTTCAACAGTTGTTTTTTAATCCGTCCAGAGGACCTGACTTGACTTTGTTAGAGTTGGTGAAAGTATTTATTTCTGCTTGAATACTCTGGACTCTCTCAGAAAGTCTGATGAGGAGGAGAAGTTCATCTTCAGCAGCTGAAAGATAAAAACTTTCAACAAAAATAAATAAAAATATTGTTTTGGCAACTTTAACAGAGAAAAAACAGAAAAAAACACTAAATAATAAAAAGAGAAAACGTATATTTTCCTCACACCGCGATTTAAAAACAGTAAAATAAAAAAAAGGGTATTTGTTGTAATTGTGCTCCAATTTAAAAACATTTTATTTTATTACTAAAATTAATAATTAACTGTGAAGTGGTCTTGAATCAACAGGAAATAGACGGAACCCTCCACTTGTATTTAGCCTGATCCTGTCGCTGCGTGTTTTGTCGAGTTTAATCATCGAGACACGAATGTCCCACGGGGGTGTTGGGGACAAACGGGTTGTCTTCTTGAGGACAGCGGTGGGGGACAGACAGAAATCATGAAAAACGTCAAGTCACCGTCAACAAGTAGACGGAGCCCACTCCACTTTAAACACAGCCCGGTCCGCTTCAGGACTATAATTAGCCTCGACCGTTATCCCAAATCAAACTTTACGAAGCTCATTTTAAAAACCTGCTCAACGACACGAGTGTTTAGTAAAGAAAATTAACAATTAGCTGCAAAGACGAGGTGCCCGTTCGTGGAGAAACCGTCAGAGTCTAAACCGACGACGTTCATGTCGTGGAAAAGGTGTCTTCACCGCCACAGCCGCTCAGCTCGTCCCCAGTTTACGAGTTGAAAAGACCAGGAGATGAACCGGCGACAAACCAGTAAGTTTTATTAAACACCTACCGTTAAAGAAGACAGTTGCCCACGCGCCTCTTCAGTTTGATGGCAGAAAGTAACGAACACGGCTCAGACCCAGGACTCGGATCTTTCACGACTGCAACATCTTTCCTCTTGTTCTGTGAACTCAGGTGGAGGCAGCGCGCGACCGTGGCGAGAAGGTGTGTCGCAACCTCCAGCTATGGCAGGCCAAAGAGTCACACATTACCGTTCCTGCCGCGCGTTGTGACGTCATCGGTCAGCCTCTGCGCTTTTTTCATTCTGACCTTGGCACTGAAAAAACTACGTCATGACGATAAAGTAGTCTTAAAAGTTTCCACAAAACGACTGCAAAATTCACAGGAACAGATTTTTGAGTGTGCACATTTCAAACGTGCTTTCCTTTTCACCCCCTTCTTGAACCAAACTCGCACAGAGACTTCCATCCATCCATCCATCCATCCATCCATCCATCCATTTTCTTTACCCGCTTATTCCATTTTGGGTCACGGGGGTCGCTGGTGCCCATGTCCAGCAATCACTGTGCGAGGGGCGGGGTACACCCTGGACAGGTCTCCAGTCCATCACAGGGACACATAGAACAAACGAGACAAACAACCATTCACTCTCTCACTCACACCTAGGGACAATTTAGAGTTACCAATCAGTCTAACATGCATGTTTTTGGTCTGTGGGAGGAAACAGGAGTACCCGGAGAAAACCCACGCATGCACGGAGAGAACATGCAAACTCCACCCAGAAAGGCCCCTGGACCGGGGTTTGAACCAGGGACCTGCTCGCTGAGAGGCAGCAGCTCTACCAGTTGTGCCACCGTGCTGCCCACAGAGACTTGTCAAACGGTTTTACACTGTCGCCACTACAGCACCACCGCCATCCAAGTCACCTGAGGGGGATTAGGGGTCTTGCTCAAGGGCCTAGAGTAGGGGAAATGAGAGTAAAGGCAAGTAGCTGACCCAAATTTATGTGTATGTCAGGGGATTTGAACCGACAGCCTCTCAATCACAGACTTGCTTTCTCCTCTGCGCCACCACATAAATTGTCAGATGTGCATGAATCGGATCAACTTTCCTGTTCCTGTGACTTGAGACTCCAGGTTCACAAAAGTAATGCTGCGTCAAGGCTGCTGAAAAGCTGGCACATCTGGGCGTTACGTTTCATTCAACCTTTATTCAGACAGGTTCATCCCACGAGTCTCGGGGACTCATTTACAAGAGAGACCTGATTTTAACAAAGAGTGATGACGGCGGACAACAAAGGCAACAATAGATGACAATAGTGAAAATGAAATGGCATTAAAAAAAGTAACAAAACAACAGCTAGATTATGAGCCGGTGCAGGAAACTACGAACAGGAACATGTCTGTGATGGTTGTTCCCATGAACTTTGCAGATGTTTGAAGCCACTTAGAGATCAAGGTCGAGAGCTTCAGATCTTTTTGCAGGGTGTTCCAGGAAACAGGAGCAAAAGTGAAACTTGAGTTCTTAATTTCACTTTTATATTTCTGTTTTTTGAAGAAGTTAAATGTGATGTTGTGTGAAAATACCATTTGCAACACTTTATATGTGTTAACTCTTGCTGAAAAAATCTGTTTAAGACTGTAAATGTTTGACTTGTTATGCCTTTTTAGTCTTATTTTACTGCACGAGGCGTAAACACTTAACCTCGTTTAACCTCTGTACTCTGACTCGTACCGCCTTGTGGCACAACTTTGTAGGTTAACTATGTCTTATCTCTTTGATATCCTCCTCTTCATCAGCTGTCCAGACCAGTCTGTAATACTCTTCATCTCATATCCGTTTTCCAGTCTGTCTCGCTTATTAATTTTTTCTTTCATTCGACCTTTATTTCTACAGGTTAGTCTCATTGAGCCTCGAGGACTCATTTAAAAGAGAGACCTGTTTTAGACAACGAGCACAGATAACAACAGTAGACAATCATGCAAAGCACAAATTGAAAATAAATGGAAGAAAATTATGTAAAAAAAACCCCAGAAAACCCCCCAGCTACATTATAAAGTGATATAAAATACTAAAAACAGGAACATGTCTGTGCTGGTTTTTGCCAGGAACTTAGCAGATGTTTGAAGCCACTTAGAGAGGTCAAGGTCGAGAGCTTCAGATCTTTTACAAGATATTCCAGGAAACAGGAGCGGAGTAGGAGAAGGTCCTTTTGTCTAGTTCAGTCCTCACTGAGGGAACACTGCAGGTAATAATGTCCTGAGAGCGCACGCTGTAGCTGCTCTCACACAGTAGGAGGAGATGTATGAAGGCAGCAGAAGATAAAATAAAAGGGAGGACTGCTGGTACAGACGTCCTGTTTGAAAACAACATCTCTTTGGTTTTGTCAGCATTTGAGACGGAACAAACCTGACTGGATGATGTCAAAAGCAGAAAAAGCTGGAAAACCTTAGCAACTGTTTTAGCTCGACAATAAACAACTGTGTCGTCGGCATAGAAATGTAAGGATGCACCAGGAATGATCTGACCTACATTACCTATGTAGATTGTGAAGAGGGTGGTCCTAAGACTGAGCCTTGTGGTACACCATTATTAACAGTTAGATAGCTGGAAGAAGTACCATTATATTGAACACATTGCCTCCGATCTGAGAGATAATTAAAACACCAACCAATGGTGAGATCAAGATGTCATGATCCAAAAAAAATATAAACAAAAGCCACCAAAATCAAATTAAATACAACAATTTTCAGACTAATGATTAAACTACAATTTTAAATCATGCTAATTATCAAATTCACTGTTTTTGTCTTGTTTTTCTGATTTTTAGCTACCATTCAGCTAAATTTAGCTTTTAGCTATATTTTTACTACTTTTAGCCATAAGCCAATCATTTAATTACTTTTAGCTTCCAGCTACCTTTTATGATTATTTTAGATCTGTTTAGTTTTTTTAACAGCCTAATGACAGAATATTTAAAATTTTAACCAGCTTTTGGCTACTTTCATTGTCAGTTTTGTTCATTTTAATTAATATTTTGTTACTTATAGCTACCTTATTGTAAATTTTAACTAGCCTTTTAGTTATTTTTAGTTTTAAGCCAATCATTTTGTTATTTTTAGCTTCCAAATGTTAATATTTCAAATTTTAGCTAGCTTTTTGATACTATAACTTGCAGCTAGATTTCTGATACTTCTGGCAATCATTTAGCTACTATAACTGGCCTTTTGCTACTTCTAGCAATCATTTTGCCACTTTTATATAGTGTTTTGCTATTTTGTAGCTAGCCCTTTGCCACATTTAGCTAGCCTGTTGTAATTTATTTCTTTAGTTACCTTTGGCTTTTAGCTAACATTTTGTTTAAATTTATATTTTAGCTAGTTTTCCTGATTTTAGCTTTAACAACTGTGTTTCGGCTTCTTCAGTAAATTTCAGCACTCATTCAGGTTTCAGCGCTCAGGCTGCGTTTTCACAGAAAATGTATTTTTGAAATGTTGTGTATAATTTAAGTCTTAAGTGCTTGTTCTGTAGCCTCCAGAATCAACTACAGTACAAAAACTCGTTGTACCTCAAAGATCTACCACCAAGCAACAGGCATCATGAAGACCAAGGAACTTTAACAGCTCTGGACTGGGTCGGGGGTGGGTTGTAAAAATATTTGTTAAGCCCTCAAGTTGTAAAAATTAAAAGATAAAACTTCCTGTATATGTAGCTGCATAAACTTTTTATTTCCTCAGTCTCAGAGACAGAAAATATCCAGGTCAAAGATGCTGCCATTGTGTGTGTGTGTGTGTGTGTGTGGGGTGAGGGTGTGGGGGTTGGTATAATGTTACATTGTAGGGACCAATTTTCCAAAACATCCTACAGTCCTTGTGGGGACCAAAGCCCAGTTCACATAAGTATAAGTCTTGTTGATGGGTTGGGTTTAGGGGGAGGTATGTACTGGTAATGGTAAGGTTTAGGGGGAGGTATGTACTGGTAATGGTTAGGTTTAGGGTAAGGGTCAGAGTTAGGCTATAGAATTGAGTGGAATGAAAAGTCCCCACAAAAATAGAAAGACAGACATGAGTGTGTGTGCGTGTGTGTTATCACACACACTGACTATTTTAGGACACACTCTCATATGTGAATCTGTTTACTTTCAATGTTTGTGTTCACCTGCTTCAGCCATCAGCTGTGACATGAATAGCAACGAGCTTCGGGAAGGTTACCACCACCTTCGCCTGTTTGTGGGTAAACAGCACCGTTAGCTCATATCACAAACAAAAATCTGCTGATTTCTGCTGCAGTGAGTCCAAACTCAGTCGGGTCAGAAATAAACTAAAGTAATAATCTGCGTGAATGCTGAGTGCTGAATGACAGCTGATGAATCTGATTGGTTAAGTTAAAAAAAAAAAAAAAAACACAAAAAAAACTTTACCTAAAAACTGAAACTAGCAAAATCCTAGCTAAATGCTAACATTAGCAAAGCTACCGGTATATCTAAAAGCTAATTTAGGTTGAACCTAAGTAAAATTAAAATTAGCAAAACCATAGACTAAAATTAAACTAAAATTAATAAAAAGCAGTAGCTAAAATCTAAAAACCAAAACCACAGCTCATAACTAAATGCCGCAAAACCATACTAGAAGCAAAAATCAGCAAAACAGTAGTCAAAAGCAAAAATGATAAACTAAGTGCAGAAAAATAGCAAAATGGTAAAATCAACTAAATTAAATATTTAAAGTTTATTTAGCTTAAATTTTGGCTAAAAACTACATTTAGCAAACCATTGACTAAAATCTACAATTAGCTAAATTGTAGTTAAAAGCAAAATTTGTAAAACCATAACACAAAGCTATATCTAACAAAACAAGAACCAAATGCTAAAAATTAGCTAAATTGCAGCTAAAACTTAAAATTTGTGAAATCAAAAAGTTAAAATTAACACAACCTTGCTTTAAAACTACAGTTGGTAAACAACAAAGTCCATGCTCAATAATCCAGGTATACAATCCAACATTTTTCAGTCAGGTCATCTGGACAGTTTCTTTTTTGTGCTGAAACGTTTCGCCTTCTATCCAGAAGGCTTCATCAGTCAAGGAAACGCACAACAAAACTGATTCTTCCCCCAAGAGCTTACTCCAAAGTGGAACAAACCAGTTCTGCTTGTGATAAGATGGTCTCATCTTATCACCATCTTATCACAAGCAGAACTGGTTTGTTCCACATTGGAGTAAGCTGTTGGGGGAAGAATCAGTTTTGTTGTGTTTCCTTGACTGATGAAGACTTCCGGACCGAAGGCGAAACGTTTCAGCACAAAAAAGAAACTGTCCAGATGACCTGACTGAAAAATGTTGTACAGTTGGTAAAATTGTAGCTAAACGTTATAAAAGCAAAACTGTACAAAGGAGCTAAAGTAAGCATAATTATATCTAAAAGATAAATGTAGCAAAATTGTAACTAAAAGCTGACATTAGCAAATTCTTGGCCGAAATCTCCATAAATCAAACCAATAGTTAAAAGTTAAAATGAGCAAAACTGCGACTAAAAACTAGATAAATACTGGTAGTAGCTAAAAACAGAAGACGGTAGCTGAAGCAGATTTCAAAGAAAATGATGTTTTTAAGGACCTGAAGAGATCTCCATATATTTCTACAGGACAGTTTTGGTATATAAAGTTAAATAATTAAAAAAGTAAAAAGGTTAGCATACCAGCTTTATTTATAGGGCACTTTAAAAACTCATCCGGCCAAAATGTTGTACACATAATAAAACAATTATACAGTCAGTCAAAAAAATAATTTAAAATATCAAGGAGAAGAGATGGGTTTTAAGAAGAGATTTAAAAACAAGACAGGGAAGAGTTCTGTCTGATGTTCAAGGGAAGGTCGTTCCACAGTTCAGGAGATGCGACAGTTAAAACACGGTCTCCTCTGAACTTACGCTTTGACTTCGGCACACTCAGCAGCAGCTGATCAGCTGACCTGAGGGATCGAGATGGTGTGTATGGATGTCGCAACTCGGACAGATAGGACAGGGCAAGGCCATTAAGAGATTTAAAAACAAATAAAACAACTTTAAAATGAATCCTAAAATGTACGGGCAGCCAGTGCAGGGAGGCTAGAACAGGAGAAATGTGGTCAAACTTCTGTGTGCCAGTTAAAAGCCGTTCAGCAGCATTCTGTACCCTCTGATGCTGAGAGATACATGAATCACTGACAAAGTATGCTACAGTAATCCAGCCTAGTGGTAACAAAAATGTGTGGATTACGGTTTCAAAAATGCTGCTGAGAATGAATAGGCTTTACTTTAGCTGCCTCAGATGGAAAAAACTAAATTTAACAACTGCAGTGACGTAATTTTCTAACATTAGTCCATCATCAACTTTGACACCTAGGTTTGTAAAAGTTGACCTGATGTACTGGGTCAAGGAACCATCATCTACATGGGGGTCTCAGTGGAGCTTCCAAAAAACATCACCTCAGTCTTTTTCTTGTAAAACATTAAAACGTTCACCATCCAGTCTTTTATGTCCTCCAGACATAAAGACAGAGGACTCAGAGAGATGGAGTCCTTTTTTCTGTAGCGGGACATATATTTGGATATCATTTGCATACATTGAAAGAAGATACCATATTTTCTAAAAACTGAGCCAGGAGGGAGCAGGTACAACAAAAAGAAGAGGGGGCCTAAAATTGAGCCCTGTAGGACCCCACAAAAAAAGAGGAGCAGAGGATACCAAGACAGACACTGAAAGTTTGCTTGGCAAAGTAGGATCTTAACCAGTCCAGTGCTGGTCACACCCCCCCACCCCCATTGTTTCAAACGACAAAGCAAGATGTTATGGTCCACTGTGTAAAAAGCAGCTGATAAACCTAAAAGCACGAGGACAGCACAGTCACCAGAGTCATTACTGAAAATATATTGTTAAAACCTTTTTAAAGGGCAGATTCTTTACTGTGTAAAGACTTAAAACCAGACTGTAAAATGTTCTGTTCTTTCAAATATGCTGAAAGTTGATTGTACACCTTCTCAATGATTTTCAGAAGCAATGGCAGTTTAGAGATTGGCCTATAATTAGCTAGAACAGAGGGGTCAGGAGTGGGTTTCTTAATCAGAGGCTGGACAGCTGAATGTTTCAAATTTCCAGGGACCACACCAGAGGACAGACTGCTATTCAGAAGAACAAGGACCGAAGGACCTACAGCGAGGAAAACATCTTTAAATAAACAAAGAGGAATAGCAACATTTGGAGAACTTTAAATGACCAACAGTTTGTTGACAACACCAATATTCAATATTTGAAACAACATCTGTAATTTATCAGTTTTCCATCTGCGCTCGGCTCTGCGACACTCTCTCCGGGCAGCCCAAGTGTCATCATTTAACCAGGGTTCAGACTCGAATTTAGGATGCCTGGTTTTTAACGGAGCCACAGAATCCAGAACCGTTCTGCAGGTGGAGTAAAACCAGAGCTGAGAGCCACAGTCTCTGGGACGATTAAAAACATGCAAACTGACCAGCAGTGGAAGAGTTAAACAGCCGAGCTGCAGCGCGAGGATTACAAATAAAGTTACAAATATCAAGTCATGGCACAAAAAATGCTGAAGTAGTTTAGTATAATAATTGCAACAAACATTTATTGATGGTTTTATTGAGGCTCTGTGCATCGAGGGGAAAAATATCTATAAACTCAGTAGATTTATTGGGCCTGGTGACATTTCTTTCTCCACTGAATGTTAGAATAGAATAAAGTAGAAACAGCCTTTATTGTCCCACGGATGTGAAATTCAAGTGTTCAATTCAATGTTCTGTTTTTGAGTCGAGATAAAACAGGAAGTACGAGTTTTGGTGCACCCGTAATCTAACGCCATCTATGAACGATGCTTGGCTTCCTGTTCTTATCTCTAAACTCTCAGAGTAAAAACAAACTCAAAGTTCAGTGATTTTTCTTCAAACTGCCGTTTGACGCTTGTTCATCTGCGAGCGGTGACTTCAGGCCTCCTCTGAGGACAGCGCGTGCAGCACAGAGGTGAGGACCGACAGAAACGCTCCCAGAGCTTCGGCGTCTCCTGGCTGCTGCCTCAGAGTCACTTTTACCTCCTCTTCCCCGTTTCCTGTCTCCTCCGTCACCTCCGCCTGCCGGTCAGCTGAGCCTTTCTGATTCGCCTCTGCGGCGTACAGCAGCTCCCCCAGTACGAGTGTGCTGCTGCAGCCGCTGCTGGGCGTGCACGGTGTGCGCAGGGTGCGCGTGTACAGGAAGACCCTCCACGGGCGCGCGTGCGGCGGAGTAAAGGCAAGAGTCTGGATGTTGACCAGCTGCATGGCGGCCTGGAGGCTTCGCGGGGAGCAACGAGGTACAACCAAACACCCGATGCTTTCTTCGATCCACACGCAACCCTCGGCCTCGTCATGTAAGGAAACTGGACGAGCACAGGACAAAGGAGAGGAAGTAGTTAGGAGGCACATCTAAAAACAAAACAAAGAAAAAGTCCAAAGTCATGTCCTCAAGAAACAGGACCCACTGCATCAGGCATTCACAAGAGTTTCCAAAATGTTTCATAACATTCCCAAGTGTTCTCAATTTCCTCATTCTTTTGTCGCTGGCATGTTGAACATGTTTTATTTTAACATGTTTTTTCACTGCGAACACAACAAATTCACTCTGAAAATAGTCACATAGCCGTCGTGGGCAACTGGAGCCCGTCTCTGACCCCGTCCTAATCACTGACTGGAGACAAAATAAGAATTGTGATCAAATTAAGACATAAAATGACCACAAAACAGTAAGTTTTCACCCTAAAATATGTATCAATATCATAATAATTGTAAAACAAATATCAAATTAAACAAAACCAATTCTGATAACGTTGGGTTGTTGTGGAAAACACACATAGAAACAACAAAAAAGGTTGAATCATGTCATCTGGACTTCGTTTTTTTATTAAAAAGAAACGTTTCACCCCTCATCCAAGAGGCTTCATCAGTCTGAGGCCTAGCCATCTGGTATTACCCAGAAGCCACCCTGACTCTTGTGTTTCAAGCCTGCCTCAGATACCCCTGAAGTCTGGCCTTTTCACTAATGGTTTCAAAAACACAAAGTTTGTTTTCTCAGTCATCCAGGTATATAACACATAGAAACAATTTTTGGAGTAAATAATCCTTTGGATTTGGTCTAAAATAACTAGATATGATTATTATTTTTATTTATTTTGCTGTGTCATCCAGACCAGAAGCAGAAAACCGAGTCATGCTCTGAACAATGCAGCCTGGATGTTTTCTGTAACCACAGCCGAACAGCCTGTTCTGTGGAGCTGAAATGTAAAATGTAATTAGCTGTAATCTGATCATGCCAACTCACGATGCTAATCCAATGAGGGAAACCCTGTTGTTGTGGTGATGTGCTGCTTCTAAAGTTCAGTTCAATGTCAGACCCCTTTTTCTCTCGAGTCATTTCAGTAAAGGTAAACGATGCTGTTAAATGTCCATTAACTCCTCACATGTTCACTTCAGTTTATTTCTACAGCTGAGTCACAACAGAAGTCGTCACAGAAACGTTCACATACATTTTAAATTCCAATTAGTGAAAGTTATTTATCTAAGGAAGCAGCAGATTGTGTTGAATCTTCACTTCATCTCAGTCTCCCGTCCTGAGCGAGCACAAAGGAGACAGTGGAAAGGAAAAACTCCCTTTTAGCAGGAAGAAACCTCCAGAAGAACCAGGCTCAGGACGAGTGGCCGTCTGCTTCGACCGGCTGGTTTGAGAGGAACAGGAAGGAGGAACAGACACAGAATGACAGGTCCAGGTGTGGTTTCTATAGGAGGAAAGACAAACGTGTGTTAAGATATAAATAATTACAATTACAAACAGGAAGAGTGGAGCAAGTAAAGACAGCAGCAGAGAGAGGACATGTGGTCAGTTTGTCCTCCAGCAGTCTAAGCCTATAGCAGCATAACTAAGGGATAGCTCAGGAAACCTAAGCCCACACTAACTATAGGATTTATAAAAAAGGAAAGACTTAAGTCTAATCTTAATAATAGACAATGCGTCAGCCTCTCGGACAGAAACAGGAAGTTGGAAGAGAGGAGCCTGATAACTGAAAGCTCTGCCTCCCATTCTGCTTTTGGAAACTCTAGGAACCACAAGTAAACCTGCAGTCTGAGAGCAAAGTGCTCTGTTAAAAAAAAAAATGGAACATTAAGATCTGTAATATAAGATGGAGCTAGGTTGTTGAGAGCTTTGTAGGTTAGAAGAAAGATTTTGAATTCTGTTCTGGATTTGACACGGAGCCAGTGGAGAGAAGCTAAAACTGGAGAAACATGATCTCTCCTGCCAACTCGCATTAAAACACTGTGTTCTCACAGAACGGTTTCCAGTTTAGCAACAGTACAAACTGTGCTGTTAATAACTGTGCTGCATGCGATCAGAGCCCCGTTTTAAATACCTGCAGCTGTGTGAAATGAAGGGCAGGCCTGGTGTCCGTAGGGCTACACAGGCCGGGCTGTCAAATCGGCTGCAACTGGGTCAGTTTAAACCGTACGTTGATCTTAAATACTTCTACAGATGTTTGCTCTTGCTCAGGTGGACATTTTAAAGAGAAACTGCAGCAGCATCACACGCAAACGGAAACGATGTATCGAGAGCATGGGTGGCAAAGTGGACGTTTATTTTTAGATGATGATGATGCAGGAGGAAGATCTGGTATTTCTGTTAATCGAGGATAAACGCTAATTTTCTAATTTGTCACAAAAAGGTAATCAACGTTTCCAACAGAAACAAATTTCAATCTGTGTTAAACAGTTTTAACGTGGATTTTTCTATGAATGAACTGAAGTAAGACTTTTCAAAAATTATTTAGCTTATGTCTGGTCCAAAATAATTCATTAATAAGAACTACGAGTTATTGTTTATTAAACGCACAAAAGATGTCTTTTTAGGTTTCTTTATTTTGTCATAAAGACTTACCGGTAACTAGTTTGGTTCTGCTGAAGGGAAATGTAGCTTTTATAAATGAAGGTTGTATGAAGCTCTCATGCATGTGTTCGTTATGATTCTTGGTACGACCAAGTTCAAGTATCTTTGTTATCCCCAAGGGTCATTTTGTTCATAGTCAGTAGGCACAAACATCTGTACCACACAAGACATTAAAATAACAGAAATCATCATGGTTCGTTGATAAGCCTGATCTCTACAGGGATGAATTAATTTTACACCAGCTCCATGTCCAGATGGAAGACACCTGAACTCACCATGGAGTGGATGATCAGGATCTGCCAGAATCAGCCTGGCCTTGTTCACTGACATCACCTTCTGTACGTCGGTGAGGTTCTGTAGGTCGGTGAGGTTCTGTAGGTCGGTGAGGTTCTGTAGGTCGGTGAGGTTCTGTAGGTCAGTGAGGTTCTGTAGGTCAGTGAGGTTCTGTAGGTCAGTGAGGTTCTGTAGGTCAGTGAGGTTCTGTAGGGCTATGCCAGCAGTTCTGCTGCACATCCTGAGAATCCCTGAGATCTGTTCCCACTGTTCTCACCACTCCAAGTTTTAGCTTAATATCAAATTGTGAGTATTTTCTGTTGCTTCGTTTTATCTACAGATATTTTTAAGTTTTCTGCGTTCATCTTTTTAAAAGCAATAACTACATTTGGTTTAATAACTGCGGTGAAGGAAAATATCACATTTTCTTTTGCAAAAAAAAAAAGATTATTTAAACAAACCTGAGCCTTAGATTTGATGTTTGAATAAATGTTCTGCGCCGCTGAGAACAAGTCAAACATTTTAATTGTTGCTTTAGTCGGACAGAACAATCCTGTCCTTTGCTAAGTGAAGCAGACGAGCCGCCATGACATTCATTACCGTGTTCTGGATGCAGAGCGGGTCGCTGCAGCCACAAGCGCTCGAACTCCTCCGGGCTGACGGCCGGGGAGAGAGACAAAGTGATGGCAGCCTCGGCGCCGGGGGCCGTGACGGCAGAGGGGGGGTCTGAATGATGACCCCAACCTGCAGAGGACAAACAGGAAACCAGTGAGGACGCTGGGGAGACGCGGTGTCCGGCTCGATCACCGTCAGCTTTAGCTTTAATGAGCTAAAAAGGTGAAGCTTTGTGCTTTTAGCTCTTTGATAACCTGAAACACGGAGGCACCGTAAAACAAACGCGTATGGAAGGAAATCAGGCTCGACAGATTTTATTATTTAAAAAACATTCAAATTAAAAACACCAAATATTTTATGCAGCTTTTGATGATCTTTTTTTTTTTAACCTTAGAGTTCAACTCCTTCAATTTTTTAAGGCTATTTTTCAGATTTCGTTTTATTTTGTTTGTTTTAGAATCGACGGTTTGTCCCCGAGCTCATCCCTGAAACTGAATTTATAGACAACAAATCTGAGACGCTGAAAAAAAAAAATCCAATTAAAAATGGAGGAATATCAGAAAAAACAAAGCAAAATAAAAGTTCTGATTTTACATGTTACTGAGTTAGAGTGAGAAAACCATTGGTGCGAGGTAATAGTCCAGTCCAGGACCAGAACCTCAGTCTGACTGAAATCTGTGGTGGACCTTCAGGGAGCTGAGCAGAAACCAACGATGTAAAGAAGAGCGGGCCAGAACTCCTCCACAACCATGAGAGACTGAAGAAGCCATGAATTCTGTTTCCCATTCACGAAATGAAAATTACATTTTAGTGTCACCACTCACCTGACTGAACCGTCTCAATGGGGCTACAGTCCAGTGTGTCGGGAAGATCCGAGCTTGGTTTGGGTTTCGGCACCACTCGTTCCGGGCTCGCCCTGCTGGTCGACTCCGCCTCCACAGCATCCTGCTTCAGAGGCTCCATAGTGTTAAAGCTGCTCGCCCACTGGCTCACGGGCTCGGCTTGGCGTCCGATCAAAACGCCCAGAGAGGGGTCCGACCTCCGGCCTTGGAGGACCCTACGTGTCTCTTCAATCCCACAATGCAACAGGCGATAATAGAGAAGAGCCTGGTCACGTACGCACACGTCTCTCTCCTCCTCTGGAAAACACAGGAGGGTGAACAGTCGTGTCTTTATCCATCATTTCTCTCCTGCTCTACACACACCTACGCAGAAGTGCAGCAGCCGTCCCAGCATGTCCTGCGTCTCCGCTGGGCGGGACAGAAACAGTCTCATGGTGGACGTCAGCAGCTCCATCTTCACTCCCAAAGAGGCTTCGCTCCTGACGCCGTCGATGAACGTCTCCAACGTGTAGGGGGCGCTGGAGACTCGCTCCCCGTACACACCCAGCAGCCAGAGCAAGGCCTGCCTGCCCTGGAAGAGGACGAGGAAATCGGTACGTCAACGTCCGCCGCTGCTGATTTGAACAGTGAATGTTTGTAGTTTTGGAGATGAGTGTTTTTCTGGATTGGAACTGGACAGGGAATGAAGTGAACCTAAATGTTTTTTGTGCAAGATATTCAGGGAGGAGTTACACTGTGGGGGAGAACAGAGGGAGGTTTTGTTTTGTCCGAGGCAGCTCAGAGTGACCGATCATGGCAAGTAGAGGGAGCAAATGTATCCACCACAGTGCAGTGGTGGAGCCAGGGGGTGGCCAATGGTGGCCTTGACCACCTTATATTAATCTGAGGCCACCCCAATCATTTGAGGAAACTCTACTTTGAAGCAATCTAAAAACTAGAAAGCAGTTTTCTCAAATGATAGGGATGGCTGGTTTACATATAAATATATGGTGGTGGCCATCTTGGATTTTGATGTGGCAACTCAATTTTTGATTGCGACCTTTCTTACGCCTAGATGTAGCCATGCACCAAAATGGAAGTTGGTACCTCACTTATTTTTTATAAGTTATCATGCTGATGAGCCAGATGGACGGAGGCCATTTCAAAATCCCATTGTTCGCTCTGCAACGAGGGACAAAAACTTCTTAAAGGTACCTTTAAGAACCTTTAAGAACCTTTAAGAAGGTACCTCAGGTACCTCAATGAGCTGCAACTGCTGGGGACTAACAAGAGCCACAAAGATGTCAGAAAATATGCACATTTTCACCTGGAATCACATTAAATGACATGTTTGTACAAACTCCTGGTGAAATTTGAGACAAAATATGTCAACTTTGCATTCACATCATCAAAATAATTAATGAAACCAAATTAAAAATGTTGAGGGCAGTTCCAGGCACCTGTGACCACAGCGTGACTACTTTTGAGCGTAAATTGTTCAGCAAATCGTTCAAACTTGTTTAAAATATCCGGCAGCACGAGGGCCCGACACATTTACCTGGTAAATATCCACAAGCACAATTAGACCCAAAATTCTCTGCTATATTTCTCCTTTCAGGACTTTAATTACACAGAGAAATGCCTGGGCTGTAACTTACAAAACTCTTTTCAGTTTTCTTTGAAACGTTTCAAAGATTTTATTAAATAAATGAAACAAATTGTGTCTCTGGGACAGGTTGCTGGTAACAAAGAGCCTTAAGATATAATTTATAATATATATATTTTTTGCTAAGCTGATGTTTTGTTTCAACACAACTCTTGCTCAGGCCTCGAGTTTAGGAGCTTTAGAAGCCTGATTCAAGATGGCAACCACAGCCAACACACCTTAGCAAACAAATAAACGGCTACAACTCAGTCAGTTATATAGATAGTGAGGTAAAAATTGATGTGGTAGTAGCTGAGAGTCACCCTCAAAACAAAGTCTGAGCGTTAGCAGGTTGTGGTAGAAGTCACGTGAAAATGTGTGAAATCAGATACACTACTCTTTAGTTTTCTGAGCGAATGGCTCAGATTTATGAAGTTGAGCCAGATCGTTCAAGTGAAACTGGTCAGTTAGCTGGATGCTAGCAGCTCACGCTCTTAGCATTCTTCAGCGGATTAACCTTTAATCTGCGTTCTGTCAAAAAGAAATACAGCAGTCCCTCATTATCGCGGGGGATCCGTATGAAGACCCACGATAAGTGAAAAACCACCAAGTAGGAATAGTAGAACAAGTAGTAAGTAGTAGTTTATTATATATATATATATATATATATATATATATATATATATATATATATAAACATTTAAAACCCTTTCCACAGTCTTGCAATATTCTAAACAATGTTTCTAAACTCTAAACGCTCTAAAAGAGCAGAGAATGTCATGATTTCACTCCCTGCCTCCTCTGCTCTTGGCCACGCCCACTTCTCTGCTCTGCACACTGATCAGCTGCAGCAGGAAGTTTCTCCTGCAGTGTGGGCTGCACAAAGGTGCAGGAGGTGCTAAATAATTTAAAATAATTTATTTTAAATAAAAATTCCATGCCGATCGTGCGGCTCATCAACCTATCAGCCAGTTGTGGGTCGTGCCCAATCTTATTTTGAAAAATCGCAATAGAGCGAGTCTGCGACCTTCAGAGCTCCAACACATTATCTGTCCGGACGTGCTGATAACCGATCTGAACGTCGTAAACACACACAGCCTCTTTGTTTCCGCACAAACTGCACGTTGCAAACAGACGCGGCTCCTCTCGCCCTGCTTTTACTTGCAAATGAGCGTTTTCATCTCCCGTCAACGCTGCCAGAGACCGAGGGCCAGGAATGATGCCAGAGGCTGACCAAGAAAGTTCAAACAGCCAAATGTGCCGACACCACGTTGGTGAACTGCTCGGCAGGAAGGACGTGGAGAAAGCTGGGTGTGGCATTTATTTAGAAATGTTGCCGTTTGTGAGTCATCACTTATAAAACTGCGTTGTCCCACCTCGTAAACAAAAGTGAACTGGTGTTTAAATGCAAACAAGGAGGTGGGAGTAGAAGAGCTTTCTCCTTCTTTTTGATCTCGTTTGTTTGTACTGTTAGCAAAATAGCAGCAAATCAACAGAAACGAGTTGAGTCGTACAAATGATTAATTTTTAGGATTAAACCCAATTTTAAAGCGTTTGAGATGTTGCTCAGCTACTACCATATCAAACTAGCCAGATATCTGTAACATAAGCTGAGCTTTGAACGTTTTTTGTGTTTTCCAAGGTCATTTGGCTGTGGCGGCCATTTTGAATAGAGCTGGCTGTGGTTTTATTTTTTTTTTTTTTATGAGTTTCATTGAAATCCATCTGGTGGTTCATGAGATATTTTGCTAACTGACAACACACAGGCAAAAACGCATTCATACCGTGATCCTGGGGAACACCGTTTCATTTCAACATAGCTGAAATGACAATAAAAATAAAACCTCTCTGACTCTGACATGCAAAAGTTAGCAACAGAAAATATATTATTGAAATGAGTAAATGAAAATCATTCATAAAAGTTTATTCAACAATAGTACCGGTATTTGACTTTAGTAGTTTTTACTTTTTAGTACCCTTTTTTCTTTTGAATGTTTGTTACTTTAAAGATTTTAATCTAATCCGAACTGTGTTTTCAGTCAGGAGTTGTTGTTTTTTGTTGGGCACAGCCGTTCAGTCAAACCTGCTTGCTTTAAATAAGCATTTATAAACAAACCTGATGTGATTGTGGGTTTAACGTCATGCATTAGAACCTCGCCCTGGCTGTGCAGGTCTAACCTGACTGTCCTGCAGCGTTTCCTCGCAGCCCTCCAGAGCAGAACACACCGTGCCGCTGCACTGAGGACACACCCAGACCAGATCACGCATCGTCTGCACCACCGCTGAGGCCAGACGGGAGGGAGAAACAGGAAAGAGAGAGGGAGGATGAACGGATCTGAGTGAAACGAGGATGCAGGCACGTTTGTGTTTTTACTTCCGGGCGTGTTGGGGCTGAGTCTTACCGGAGGTTATGTGTTCCTGTTTAAGCCCGAGAAGCCCCGTGAGGATCTCCAGACACCTGTCGCTGTAGCTCCGCCCGATGCGACCTGACGGGAGAAAACAGGAATCACTTTACACACCCACACCACTGTATCACGACCTTTGAAACGTGCACTGTACTGAACTCGAATCATTTCCCAACGACACTCAAGATTACAAAACTGCTGATCTGTAAAAACGGTTAAAATCCAAAGCTTGAGAAATAAAACCAAACTTCCTCTGAGCACAGACGCGATAAACATTTGTTTTTTATTGTCTTTACTGGGCATAAGAGCGCCTTAATGTGCTTTAATGCAGCTGGGAGCTACTTTAAGACATGATGTGTCAAAGGGCGTGTGTGTGTGTGTGTGTGTGTGTGTGTGTGTGTGTGTGTGTGTGTG